TTTTCGATAGTAGAATCAAACAAAGGAGAGGGGGGATTGAAGAAGACGGACTGATTTTTTTTAAAATGGATTGATCTGTGCTCATGTTATCATGACAAGAAGGAGAGAGTGACAGAGAGCAGCGGCCGGCGGAGAAGATGCATCCCAGAGCTGCGGCTGAAAAGAAGCAAGGGGTAGAGATGCTAAGAAGATGAAGGTTTCATCAAAATCCTACTACGTACAATTAGAGACATACTCTGTTAATGGTGGGCTAAATTGTTAGTTTGACTGCATTAAAATTTGTGTTACTAATTTCTAGATTAAGATAACTTTTATTAGATTTTTGTTAAATTTGTCTTTATATATGTATATATATACTTTGCATATCCTCTCGAATCTTTACAGAGTTTACCATATGTGATCAACACATTGTTATACTCTGTATGTGGTGAAAAATAGTATTTATTATTATAAATTTAAAATCCTGAAAAGTTGATTGAGTATTTGTTTTTATGATTATGTATAAATTGGGTTAATATAGTAGTGATATTATTAGGTTAATTTGCAATAGCTCAATATAGACTCACGTAAAAAATGAGTTTTATGATATAGATTGAATGTAATAATAAACATATTCTTAGAAAGGAAGACCAAAGTCGCACCCTTCCTCTGTATTACTTTAATATAAAAAAATTAGATAAGCAAGTATTGTCAATTTAAAATATGCAACTTAAGGAACATAACAGAAGAAAGGGAAAAGTTTAACAAGAGGGGGCCAGTGAGGTGTATGTGGGTATATTGTCTGTTTTTGAGATCTGTAAAATTGTAATACGTAGTAAGACATTTCGCCATGTTAAAACCTATACATTATGTTATACATTAAAATTTTGTTTAGTTGCAATTGATTTTATGTACTTTTTTATAGGGCTGGTTTCGGTTCGGGTCCCAACCGATCTGACCAAATCGAGGACCGAACCGATTTTTTCGGTTTTCCTAAACATCAGAACCGGAACCGAACCAATCAAAGACCGGGTACCGATTAATCGAGGCCCGATTTTTCGGGTCGGTTTATCGGAAACCGATAGGAAACCGAATTGTTAAAAAAATAAATAAATATTGAACTTATTTTAACAAAACTAAGTCCAAAACGAGCTTAAGATCATTATTAATTAGATCATCCAAGCTCATCAGTTGAAGCTTACCCGGTACCTTGAACTAGCTGGAAGATGTCCTTATATAAAACATTTTGGAAGAGTAAGCCGTCACTTTTCCGGTGTGGGACAAAGTGATATTGCAAAGAAAACTGAATGTAAATATTAAAACTTCATCCGGGAATCGATCCCACAACCTCTTGGAGAGGCATCTCTCTACGCGACCAACTCGCCAGCACGTTACATTAGTTCAAATTGGGCTCGCAGTGCTAATATAATTGTGATACTTCTAATTAACTATGATGATTATTACTAATAATAATAATCATTATTAATATAAAATTATTGGTTCAGTTCGGTTCAAACCGATTTTTTAGGAATATAAACAGAGTCCAAACCATTTTTTATCGGGTCCCAATTTTCAATCGGTTCGGGGTTTTTTCAATGTGGTGCGGTTTTTCTTCAATGCGATTCGGTTTTTTTTGGTTCAATTTTTGGTTTTTCGGTCTGAAATGCCAGCCCTACTTTGTTATCACTACATTACCGGTAGTGATGCTTTTTTGGTTTTGATATTTTGCGGTAATAAGTTGTTTTTTGGTTACTTCATATTTTTTTTTGTAATTAATAATTTTGAACAAAATAGTGCTCTGTGCATTGCACGTGTGAGATACTAGATGTGAGTCTGTGACTATAATGTATAAAATCCATCTTTAATATCGCATCAAGCTTGACCACTAATCTTCACTTTTTGAAAAGATTTTTTTAAGTAACCATCACAATAGATTCCTTTTGCGGGGGATAAAAGCCCTCACACTCCCTTTGGAAATTGAGTAGATAGGAAAAAGAAACGAGAATAAGTTAATAAATAAGAGAGGGGGAGAGACAGAGAGGATATTAACTTTCAATAATCACTACTGCATTACACCTACATAGAGTGTGCCTGTGTACTCTAATACACATTATATGAGTGATGAGTCTATAAAGGAAGTGCTTTTTAAGAATTCTGAAATTCCTGATCTCAATGAGGAATGCAGACAGAAAAATACTATTAATTTGGTTATCCAAAAGGAGAGTGAAAAGGATTATTTGATAGCAAGAGAAGTACCATTTTGTTACAAATTTTATTCTCATACATCTATCCTTTCCCTTCTTAAATTATGCTTTGAAGTATCTAATTAGTATAGTAATTATTGCCTGGAAATCTACTAAGATTCGTTGCAGTTCAGAAAACCATAATGAAACCATTCTCCTCCCTATCTCTCTCCAAGCTCCAACGTATTTTCTTTGTTTCTTTTTTCGCCAAATCAATTCTTCTCCTATTCAGAGTGTAAATACTTGCAAAATGTCTCTTTCAAGAAAGAATCAAAGTAACAATCTTGTTTTCCACATGTAGAAGATGCAGGCATGCAAACTAAGTAGAAGCAATTTGTTCAGAACAGATTGGAACCGAGTTCTAAAAGAGCTGTTAAAGACTGTCCAACACGGCAACACTTATTTATGGGGTTCAATCAAAACTAATACTATCTATTAATCTGAGAAGCTGTCAACCTAATTTCAGCTATACATCAATCCAAACAAATGTGGTGAATTGCTTGTGATCATATTGCAGAAATACAAAAACTGTAATGGGCGCCTGACCTGGTCGCGACAAGGAACGGAAACTAGGCGTTCTGAAAGGAAGAGAGGGGGATCGGCAGGGCGACGGATGGTGGAGAATCGGCGCTTGCACATCGGACATCTGGATTCAACCTTGGACCACTCCATGATGCACAAGAAGCAGAAGAAGTGCTCGCAGCTGTCGATACATCCTTGAATAATGGGCCGACCATTTCCGGCTTCCAGCAGGCATATCCCGCAGCACAGCTCAGATTCATCGCCGTCTTCCGACTCCAAATTTTCGATCTTGGACTTGCCCTTGCCGGCGCCGAACGGGGGAAGCGGTGTTTGGAGTGTTTTGCGGCGTTTGCTTTCATGAGGATCGGATTCAGTTCCAGAGGTTGCCATACCTCGGGGGGAATTATGGTATACTGGTGTAGTGGTGTTTGGAACGATTTCGCCAAGCACTCTTTTGATGAGCACTTTGAAGAATTACGGGCATTTGTATAGTGAAAGAAGGGGTTCCTTTCAAAAAGAAATTGAAAGAAGGGGTTTCAAAGGTTTGGACGAGGGAGAATTTGAGTTTTTTTTTTAATAAGAAAATTTGAGTTTGTATCCAATGTTTAATGTTTTGAGTGATATTTGATTTCACACCCTAATTCCAAAATAATTTTGTGTGCACCTCAATTTACTATAAAATTATTTGAGTTTGCGCCCTACTCCTACACATTTTTGGGTTGATGCATATATTAATGAATTTGAAAATAGGGTGTAAAGTCTAATATCACTCAAAACACGGAGTGCAAAGTCAAATACTCGCTTTGAACAAATATGTTAGGCGTTCTCAAAGTAAGAGAGGTTTCAATGTTTCATTACTTTCAAATATTATTATACTACGTATTTGATTTGATTAATATGAGCATTGAAGGTAAATTTTTAAGCTAAGGATGGGGATGAAAATCTATGTAATGACTATGTCCGCTAGGTAATTTGATAAACGTTGGGAACCCATATGTCTAGATTTATTCCATACATTTTGAAGATTATGGTGTATAACATTGAAATATGTTAAATTTAGATTATATTGTAATTGAGGTTGATGTTTAAATTGTGATCACTAAAGGATAATCGGGAATATTAATACATCGATGGAAATTCTCTAAAGAGAAAATTATCAAATAGATCTCCATAGTATATAATTGAAGTCAATTGAGTTTTCAAACTATTAAAACACCCAATTAACCCTTCATATTATATACAAAAACATTCAATTATTCCTCTTAGCCGGTTCCCTTCCCGTTTACCTGTAGTGGCTGACGTGTATGCCCATGTGGCTTCTTTACTCCAGGTTTTGACACATGTTGAAAATCACGTAACCAAAAAAACATAGATCTATACACCTTGACATAGTAATAATTGGCAGACAACTAGTACGGAGTATTAATCTATACACATGGGCATACACGTCCGCCACTGCAGGTAAAATGAGAAGGAAACCGGTGAAGTGAAATAATTGAATGTTTTTTGTGTAGTATGACTGTACGAGAGGCTATTGAGTGTATTAATTAGGAGTGGACTCGGGCCGGGCCAACCGGCCCGGAACCGGACCGGCCCACTACTGTGCGGGCCCGGACCGGCCCGGTCAACCGGTTGGTGCACCGGTTCGGGCCACCCGGCCCGGTGGGATGGCGGTCCGGGCTCGGGCCCTGATTTTGGTGAACCGGCCCGGCCGGTTCGGGCCCGGGCCGGGCTGGATTTTTTTTTTTTTTTTTTTTTTGAAATTTTTTTAAGTTTTGGGTTGGATTAGGTATTTTGGGCCATTTGAGGTGGTTTGGGGTGGTTTGGGGTTGAGGGGGAGGGGTAGGGGGTTAAAAAGGAGAACCCAAAAAAAAAAAATAGACCGGTTGGCCCGGCCCGGCCCGGTTTGGTCCGGAACCGGAACCGGAACCGCCCACCGGCGGTTCGGGCCCGGGCCCTAGTTTTCTGGCCCGAGGCCCGGCCGGGCCCAGGCCCGAACCGGCCCCGAACCGGCCCGAGTCCACCCATAGTATTAATAGGTAGAGAACTCAAGTGACATTTGTTTTTTGTGTTATAGTATATGAACTTATTTGACATTTTTCTCTTTAACTAGCACTGATGTAGAAGAGTGGGGTGGGCCAGAGGCGCTATCCTTTACGCACCCGTTGGATACGCCCGTCGTTTGGCACATCAACACCTAATTTACCTACCCACTTGCTTCTTTGAAATCTAACTTAATCAGTTGACCATATGCTCCAAAATTAAACATTTCTTAATTGACTTCTTCCATTCTCCGATCAGATCCTCTGTTTCCAATCTAACAGAGAACCACAACCACATTATAACTCGCCGCCGACACTACTCCCCGATCACCACCATGTCAAAACTCGCCGGCGTTCATGTCCTAGTATTCCCATACCCAGCACAAGGCCATATGCTTCCTCTCTTAGATTTCACGCACCAGCTCGCCATCCGCAACCTTACCATCACCGTCCTCGTCACTCCTAAAAATCTTCCCTTCTTGTCCCCTCTCCTCGCAAGACACCCCGCCATCAGCACCCTCGTTTTGCCTTTTCCGGCGAACCCATCGATCCCCGACGGCGTCGAGAACGTCAAGGACCTCCCTCCCTCCGGCTTCCGTGCCATGATACCCGCTCTCGGCGGCCTCAAAGATCAAATCAGAGACTGGTTTTGATTTCACCCTTCGCCGCCGGTAGCAATCATTTCCGACATATTCTTGGGGTTCACCCACCGACTTGCCGTCGAGCTTGGCGTTCGCCGGTACGTTTTTTCCCCCTCCGGCGTCGTGGCCATGTCCCTCGGTTTCACCCTGTGGAGAGAGATGCCCAAGCGGAAGAATCCGGACGATGAGAGTGAGGTTTTCCGTTTTCCGAGCCTTCTGAACTGCCCGGAATATCCCTGGTGGCAGCTTTCTCCGATTTACCGGAGCTACGTGGAGGGAGACCCAGATTCGGAGTTCATCAAACAGTCGTACCTGGATAATACCGTGAGTTCCGGGCTTCTGTTCAACACTTTCAGTGCGCTGGAGGGGGTCCACACAGAGCACCTCAAGAAGTACTTGGTCAACGAGAGGATTTGGTCCGTCGGTCCACTGTTGCCTGCAGGCGATGAAAACTCCGGGCCGGCGGAGCGCGGCGGATCGAGCACCGTCTCAACGGATGAGATACTGAGTTGGCTCGACTCGCGGGAGGACAACTCGGTTGTCTACGTTTGCTTCGGCAGTCAAGCAGTGTTGACCGACCGGCAAATGGAGGCGCTAGCGCTCGGGCTTGAGAAGAGCGGAGTCAACTTTCTGTGGTCAACGAAGGTGCCCACGGGGCACGTGGGTGAAGGCTACGGGGCGATACCCACGGGTTTCCGGGAACGTGTGGGCCCGAGGGGATTAGTGATCCAAGGATGGGCCCCACAGGTATTGATTCTCAAGCATCGTTCTATAGCGGCATTCCTGACCCACTGCGGGTGGAACTCGACGCTAGAAGGAATAGTTGCTGGCGCGCCATTGCTGACATGGCCGATGGGCGCCGACCAATACGTGAATGCGGACCTCCTAGTGGACGAGTTCAAAGTGGGGATGAGAGCAAGTGAGGGACAGGAAACGGTGCCGGACTCGAACGAGTTGGCTCGTTTGTTGAGCAAAGCCGTGAAAGAGGGAGGTGGGGAGGCAAAGGTGCGTGCTTTGGAGCTGAAACGTGCAGCGTTGGATGCCATTGTTAAGGGAGGTGATTCATTCAACAATCTCGAAAACTTCGTCAAGCACTTGAGTGAATTGGCTTCGGAACCAAAAGGAAACAAACAATAGTAAGCCAATTTGCCGGTCAAGGCGCTATTTTTCGTTTTTTTTTTTTTGTGATTTTTTTGCGTGGATAAGTTGAAATCTTTATACGGCACACTTCATACTTTTTATTTTTAATAATACTCGATAGCCCGTATCGTCTCACAAATTATTCCTTAATAGGAGCCATTTCGTGCAACAGTGCAAGCGAAAACCGAAAACTAAATCAATAAATATCGAATCATAAATGAATTTTATCGAAACATAGAATTCAATGTATACAGATGAACTTGAGGTTCGATTTGAGAATATTTTAAAATTAGAACTAACCCGTTTTCTTTTTTATTACTTGCCTATATATTTTAGTAATTATAAATGAAGGTAAAACAAAATAACATTGACTCAACAATAAAGAAAAGGAAACAAAGGAAGACTTGTAGAGTTACTTGTTAGCATCCTCTCTTGAGTACCTTTTTGAAATTTATAAGACACGGGTATAGCCGTATAGGGCATATTTATGCACAATTGAAATATAGGGGCTAACTTAAAAAAACACGGGATGGGTTTTTAAAGATTCATAACTAAATATTGGGGTCATGACTATGACTTATGAGCACTCCAAGTAAGTTAGATTTGCAGTTTACACAATGACACTTGGTAATGTTCGTCACATTGAGACCTTTAACAGTTTGCAAAATTAATTTGAAATTATTTGATTGTCTACAGTCCTACTATACATATGTAAAAGTTATCTTATATGCCACATGGCATTAAATGTGGCATTTGTATTAAAACTGCCAAAGGGTAAGAAAAAAATGTAACATGTGACACTTTTTAAAATATGACCTACATGAAATATAGATAGCTGGAATTACGAGACAATATGCACATGTAGTCATGTAGAAGTTATATTCCAAAACAAAGAAGTTATAACTAGAATCGAAAATAATGAACTGTTTCTATCTTATTGGTTTTATACTCCTGTTTTCATTTGCTTGTCTACATGTATTATTTATTTAATACACACCATTTAATAAGCATCATTAGTGGACGTTATTACAGCATGTTATATTTTATTATTGTAATAACTAGTTAAGTAGCATATTTACTATTTACGTATTAAATATTACTCCTATTATTGTATGGACCATGCAAGAGCCAGCTTCTCTCTCTTGTGATGAGTCATACCCCTTTGTTGTACTATATATACATGTACGCATGATGTATGAATAAGAAAGTGTAGAGTTTTGCTCTCTGCTAACTCCTTTTCTCCTCTTCAATATTAATATTATCATACTCAATTTTGTTATATCAATTTTATCATGGTATCAGAGCCAAAATCCTGGAAGCAAAATATTTGCTCTTCTGTATAATTTTTTTTAGATCGGTTATGGAGGTTGGTGGTCCAACCGTCAAGACTTGCCATGAGAATATGATTTCTTCCTTGTTAGGAGCTCAAGTGAATATGGCATATACGTTGCCACATGCTCGTCCTTGGATAATTGATTCCGGAGCTACTGAACATATCACTTGTAGTGATATTAACCTTTTCGATATCATGAATCACATCCCACAACCACCAGTCAGAATTCCTAACGGTGAATCAATCCCGGTTCATGCTGTTGGAAGTTTATATTTACCCAATGGGCTCCATCTTAAACGCGTTCTGTACATTCCGCAATTTCAGTGTAACCTAATATCAGTCAGTCGCCTAACAAGCGACTTAAACTGTACGCTAACATTTTTCTCAGACTTCTGTGTTTTCCAGGATTTATCCACGAGAAAACTTATTGGCGTAGGTAAATTTCGTGATGGTCTCTACTATTTAGAATCTCAGAAGAGTGAAGGGGTGGCAATGTCAGTCTCAATTACTTCTGATTTATGGCATCAACGTTTGGGGCATGCATCCGATGGAAAGATACATCATATTAGTTCTCTCAAGGGTTTTCAACGGAATGATAATTTTTGTGATCCATGTATTCGTGCTAAGCAGACTAGGTTGCCCTTTCCCAAAGGTGGGATTAAGACAACCCGTTGTTTTGAATTGATACATTGCGACATTTGGGGACCTTATAGATGTGATTCAATCTCCGGAGCACGGTATTTTCTATCTATTGTTGATGATTATACTAGAGGTGTGTGGGTTTATTTAATGAAAAATAAATCTGAAGTTCCTCAGCTTTTAATTCATTTCTGCAACATGGTTAATACCCAATTTGAACAAAAGGTCAAAAGAATAAGAGCAGATAATGGCGTAGAATTTCAAACCAATAGTCTACTTGATTATTATGGGCACACTGGGATATTATTGGAAACGTCATGCACAGACACACCTCAACAAAATGGAGTTGTAGAGCGTAAACATAGACACATATTGGAAGTAGCAAGAGCATTACGTTTTCAATCTGGATTGCCTATTGATTTTTGGGGAGAATGCATTTTGACAGCTGTTTACATTATTAATAGGCTTCCTTCTCCCATCATTCAAAACAAAAGTCCTTTTGAAATGCTATTTGGGAAAGTGCCCAATTATGAACATTTAAGAGTGTTCGGATGTTTGGTATATGCACACATCAATAAAAGAAAAGATAAATTTGGTGAGAGGGGGAGCCCTTGTATATTTTTGGGTTATCCGCATGGTCAAAAGGCATACAAAGTTTTTGATTTGCAAAAACATATTGTATACAATTCCAGAGACGTAACCTTTTATGAAGAGAAGTTTCCATTTAAAATGAGTCTTGATCATGAGCTTGATTTCCCCACTCTTATTGACAAAGTATACAATCATATTTTATCTTGTGAGTATCCCACAGAGCAGAGCAACACCACAAACGTGAGTACCAGCCTACATCCCATTATTACACGAGGACAAAATTCTTGTGAGGAGCAACGCCGTGGCCCCACACCAACAGCACCGGCTGCATGGGAGCAGTATACTCTCGGATCAACAACAGTGCCGCCGGCCAAGCCGATTCCCCTTGAATCTTCTCCACATGCTGAAATCTTCCGCGGCCCCACATCTGCAGCAAGGAATACGCCAGATACATTTTTGGAGCCAGCTAGCGAGCAACTACACGGAAATGGGCAGGAGCAAATCAATCATCCTCCAACCTCTGCATGTGAATTCCAAAATCATGGCCCCGCCTCTAAAAATCATGAGGAGCCACTTGTTGATATGTTAATCCAGCCACCTACTGGATTTCAAGAGTCACCAAATAATTCTGCACAATTTCCCTCTCAAGTTGACAATCTAGCAGAAGGACATATTCCAGTGGGTCCTTCTAATCAGTCAAGAAGACATGATCGGAACCGTAAAATCCCAAAGCATCTTGACAATTATGAAGTTCAATTGCCACCTTCACTTGATCATTCCCGACCCATTACCAATTCAGTCAACTCAAAACCATATCCCATATCTGATTTTATTAGTTATGAAAAATTTTCATCCACACATAAAGCCTTTTTAGCTGCCATCACTTCACGTGATGAGCCTAAATATTTTTCTCAGGCAGTCCAAGACCCACTATGGCGGGAGGCCATGCAAAAGGAGATTCATGCTTTAGAAGAAAACACAACTTGGTCTTTGGTCCATCTCCCACCAGGGAAAAGAGTTGTTGACTCTAAATGGGTTTATAAAATTAAATATAAGCCTAATGGAGGTGTGGAACGCTATAAAGCTAGATTGGTAGCTAAAGGATATACACAAGTTGAGGGAATTGATTTTCATGAGACTTTTGCCCCTGTCGCCAAGCTTGTTACTGTGAGATGCATACTGGCAGTTGCAGCCAAACGTAAGTGGATAGTACATCAATTGGATGTAAACAATGCCTTTCTTCACGGAGATCTGTCTGAAGATGTTTACATGCGTATTCCCCAAGGTTTTAAAAAGGCTGGTGATACTCGTGTTTGCAAATTACGGAAATCACTTTATGGATTACGACAAGCATCTCGTAATTGGTATCATAAATTTACCCAAGCTCTCACCAAAATTGGTTTCCGTCAATCCCAAGCGGACCATTCGCTATTTATCTTCCAACAAGGCTCACTTGTCACATTTGCTCTCATCTATGTCGATGACGTTATTCTGGCAGGAAATGACATTACCCACATTGGTACAGTAAAAGATTACTTAAACAATGAGTTTAGTATTAAAGATTTGGGGAAACTGAAATATTTTCTCGGCATTGAAGTCGCTCTCTCTCCAGATGGTTTTGTCTTGAGCCAGCGTAAGTACACTCTTGATATTCTTGAAGAGAGTGGTATGCTCGCCGGACGCCCTTCTCAGTTTCCCATGGAGCAAAATTTAAAACTTCGCCCAGATGATGATAGCCCTCCGGTGGATGCCTCTTCTTACCGCCGTCTCATCGGGCGCTTATTATACCTCACTGTGACTCGTCCGGATATTGTTTACTCTGTTAGTCAACTCAGTCAATTTCTTAGTTGTCCACGTCAAACACACCTTGATGCGGCAACACGTGTTCTGCGGTATCTGAAACAAACACCGGGTCAAGGAATTTTCCTATCATCAGAAACTGACCTCACGCTCCGGGGCTATTGCGATGCAGATTGGGCAGGGTGCTCTTTTACTCGTAGATCCAGTACCGGTTACTTCATCACCCTTGGTAACTCACCCGTTTCTTGGCGAACAAAGAAACAATCTGTTGTATCTCGCTCATCCGCCGAAGCAGAATACCGCGCTATGGCAGTAACTGTTAGCGAGATTTTGTGGTTGCGATGGTTACTTCAGGATTTTCTAGTCCCTCAAGAAGATCCTACATCCCTTTACTGTGATAATCAAGCTGCTCGACATATTGCGCTTAATCCAGTTTTCCATGAACGTACTAAACATGTTGAGATAGATTGTTATTTTGTCCGAGAAAGAGTCGCCACTAATGAGATTCGACCACTATCCATCTCCACAACCAATCAAGTTGCTGATATATTCACAAAGGCCTTGGGCGCTGACCGATTTCAATTTCTTCGAAGCAAGTTGGGTGTTCGCAATCTTCACACTCCACCTTGAGGGGGAGTATTACAGCATGTTATATTTTATTATTGTAATAACTAGTTAAGTAGCATATTTACTATTTACGTATTAAATATTACTCCTATTATTGTATGGACCATGCAAGAGCCAGCTTCTCTCTCTTGTGATGAGTCATACCCCTTTGTTGTACTATATATACATGTACGCATGATGTATGAATAAGAAAGTGTAGAGTTTTGCTCTCTGCTAACTCCTTTTCTCCTCTTCAATATTAATATTATCATACTCAATTTTGTTATATCAATTTTATCAGACGTCTCTAGGGTTTTCCCTAGCTAGTTTTGCCGGCGGCGGCGTTTAGTCGCTCAGGTCCGGAGATTCGGAGATTTTGACTGCGTTTTGGATCGTCTTTCTCCCACCGGTAATTTTCAGATCTCAATTCGTCTCATAGGCTTGAGGAAGAGGTGAAGGCGGGGTTGGGGTCTGGTTCTTCTTCACGGCAGGGGTTTTATTCGGCTTTGGGGAGTTTGAAAAGGAGGTTGCAGGCTGCTGCTTTTTCGTCAATTGGATGCAACGATTCGGCCACACGCAATCTGGAAGGTCTGGGAGGTCAAGGGGATGATTAGCAATTGTCATAGCAGGTTGTTTGAAGGTGGTGAAGTAGGCCGACGAGGAGGTCACAGATGAGAAAGGGACTCCAAACAAGAGCTCACGTGTGAAGGTAGACGAAGAGGTGCTGATACGTCCCCCTCCTGAACCGCCGCCATGGAGAATTTTTGCGGCTAGGACTGTGGGAACTCAATGGAGGTTTCTCGGGAGAATAAGGATGCATTTTAATTTTCATGCTGCTGTTGTGTTTGGTTTTTCTACTTTCGATCAGACTATGTTTATTTCTTTTACTTTTACTTTATTCTGTCAGACTTTTACATTAGGTAGGGGTGATGAGGGTTTCGTTCTGGTCACGTTTGGCTCATTTAGACCCATTACAGGACAATCGAATCATATTGCTCTATCCAGGGTGGTTGGTTCTCCAACTGGTCCGAGGGTTAGTGGCTGGAAGTGTTTCCTTTATCGTTTGTATCCCTTGCTGAATGTTTTATTATCAATATAAGCCCTCTAGTTCTTGATAAAAAAACTAGAATACGAAAATGGCAGTTTTCTTTCTTGCGTTGATAGATGGGAAAGTTCCCGAAATATGACTAAAACAGTTTGAAAATTTCAAAATAGGACTGTAATGTTTTTTATTCCCAAAATAGGAGTAATTACTGTCAAGTTTGGAAAATAATGTCATGTTTGAAGTCTGACTCTACCAAAACATGACAGTAATTAGTCCTATTTTGGAAATAAAAACATGACAGTCCTGTTTTGGAATTTTCAAATCTTTTTAGTCATATTTCGGGTAATATTCTCTTGATGGATTTGAAAAAATTTAAAGGCAAATAACTGAATAAGTGTTATTTTAATACGCAATCCGCAACATAGAATGTGACATTTGTGATAAAATATGACATTTCACGACATCAAAGCTTCCAAAAAGTGAGATAAAATCCTAAATAGGGGGTAATTTTAAAAATATTACCTACATGAGAGATCTACAACTAAGGAAATTTTCCCTACAGAAAATAGTAACACGCATGATCGGGATATGAGTTGAGAAATCATTAATTTGTGATTTTGTATCAATCGATGACAATAACAAATGAGTTATTGTGGTAGTCAACTCAATAATATTATGTGGTGCAATGTAGAAAACTATGAAATTGTGAACTTGTATGAAGAAAAATGCTAACAATGAACAAATGCTACATCATCGAATTTTATGGTGTATGCTTTTTTGAAAGAATGTAGGTTAGGGTTTATTTATTTTTTATAAAAAGGAAAAGGCATCTAATTGAGGGTGATAAACTAATGGAACAACAAGAGTAGACGAACTAACTAAACTATAAGTTGGAGAATGAAAGCATTGACGGAACAATATTAGACAATGACGACTAGATATAGCTGGTGAAGTGAGTTGCATGTAAGAGATGAATCTTACTCCGTATTTATTAATGATAAAAGTAATAAGAGATAAAGCAGCTCAAAGCTATACTGAGATGAAACATAGAGTCAGATGACCCCCAAAGACCAAACAAGTTCGTTAAGTGAACAAATTGAAAGATAAAAAATTGTCTAAACTAGAAAGAGAACAAATTAAATCAATACTGACTTCACAAGCCATTGGAAAGAGAGAATTAATTTGACCAGCAACCAACAAGGAAACTCAGTCGAACATAAATTTTCTGAATCATCGATTTGAACAGCCACAAGAGATCCAGTTGAACGTTTTCTTCTTCCTAGAGCGATACGGTGGTTCAGGTGGAGGACGACTAAGTGAAGCCTCAGAACAACAAGGTTGAAAAAACTTTGTCAACGTGAATAACAAAATTCCACCAAATTGATTGCACTTAATTTAATATATAGAATAATGACTTGTTTAGAAACAGTTATTTGGCGGAAATGAGTAAACATTCAGGAGGCTATAAATATGATTTTTCCGGATGCATTCCATGGGGGTGTTATTAAGATGATCATAATTTATACATATGAATATATTGCACAACTGTTAAACGTTTTCCACTCTCTTCCAACTGATCCATGAGCAAAACAAATTTAGCAGTATCTCCAATACTTTAAATAGGGTATTGCTTTAAAAGAATTGAAAAACTCATACACAAATTGGATCAACAGAAGCAACTCTAATTCATAGAGGAGGCAGCCCTCAGTGAAATCCCACAGGCACAGAGAATCGCGAAGGCAAGAGCAACAACAATAACCAAGTTTCACACCAACCAGTAAAATATGACTTATTGCTAGAATTGTAGAGTTCTCAACACACATTGCAGTTTTCCTCCTTCACTTCATCTACCTACACAAGCCATTCAGATAGCAAAATTTAACCTGCCTTTTACACTCGAAGAGAAAACTATATACGGAGTAGATGTTTTCTCTCCAGTTCAGCCGACGCAAACAAAGGACATGGTAACCCACTTGATGACACACAAGTGACACAACTACGATAAATCCAACTGTGTAAAAGTAAAGAGAAAAAATACAATTGATTCCATGCCTCTAGGCTCTAGCCAATCAGAAGTAGAATCACTTCCTGTAAAAAGATAATGACAAATGAAAATGGTGGCTCCCTTGTTCACATTCTGAAGAGTAAATAAAGTAATAAACTGTATTGAGTGCAGTTTAGAAGTACTCACTACTCAAGTACCACAAGTTTTACTTCGTTTCATCTAGGAAAAAAGGATCAAATAAGGCCTTCTACTATTATGAAAGAGTCACATAAGGTCATGTACTCAATAAAGTGTCATATAAGGATGTTTTTACTTGGACTCTAATTTGTCCCAGACCAGACCAGACCAGTCCAGACCAGACCAGTTCAGACCAGACCAGACCAGACCAGACTTGGATAGTTATAAAAATACAAAGAAACCAAACCTTACCAGACCAGACCAGACCAGTTCAGACCAGATCAGACCAGATTAGACCAGACCAGACCAGACCAGCAAATTACAGTCGAAGTAAAAACATCCTAAGTACCTCTACTTGTAAAAAGCAATCAAATGGGTCCTAATGACCTATTTAACACCTCTTAATCTCGGTTTTAGCATACTTCTGACCATCTTTTTAGAATAGATTATACGACATACGTCGAATATTTAACTAAGATTGATTGAAATACAAGTCAAAAAAATCGACATGTAAGCTAAAACCGGGATTAGGAGATTGTAAATAGATCGTTATGACTCATTTGATTGTTTTTTACAAGTAGAAGTACTTATATGACACTTTATTGAGTACATGACCTTATGTGACTATTTCATAATAATAGAAGGCCTTATTTGACCCTTTTCTCTTCATCTGGTATCTATCAAAAAACTAACTTAGAGGTAAAGATGGCAGATGACAATGGGGTTATCATTGCAGAGCAAGTGTTCAAGAAGACCAAAACAAAGTTCAATACTAATTAAATTAGAAATGGGAGAGCTCTCTACCCATTTGCAAGAAAACAATTTGGACTATGTTAAATTATGAACATGTTAATAACATCCATATGAAATGCATCTCGAAAAATCAGTTTTATAGCCTCCAAAAGCTTACTCATTTATGCTAAATAACTCTTTCTAAACCAGCCCTTATTCTCTACAACAACATCCAACAACATCCAAGCCTTAGGATGTTTTTACTTGGACTGTAATTTGTCCCAGACCAGACCAGTCCAGACCAGACCAGACCAGACCAGTTCAGACCAGACCAGACCAGACTTGGATAGTTATAAAAATACAAAGAAACCAGACCTTACCAGAGCAGACCAGACCAGTTCAGACCAGACCAGACCAGATCAGACCAGACCAGCAAATTACAGTCCAAGTAAAAACATCCTTAGTCCCAAACGATATTGGGGTCGGCTAACATGAATCGATACATGATATCGCCAAAAGGAAAAAAAAAGAAAATAAAGATAAAAAAGATAATATAAAAGTGATGGATATACATATAAAAGATAAAATAAAAAGGAAAAAATAATAATATTGTTGTAAAATGAAGAAGATGTAGAATAGATTAAAGAGATAGATATATTAATAATAACCTCTAAATTACTTCTTCTTGATATAACTAAGATTTTCTCAATTTCTGAAAATGAATTTACAAGGCTTCATCAAGCTCCTATTTATAGTGTTTGTGCTTGATGATTAGTCACCTAAATGATGAGTCTACAGATTTGGTGGCAATAACAAATTGAGCCACCTATTCTAACTAGGTTACAAGGATCATTACAAAGATCAGGAACATCTTGGTGTCCTAGTGACAAGGATGAATAATTCACACTTTGTCAATTTGATTGTTTTACAACACCCCCCCTTGAATGTTCATCCTTGAATATGTATTTGTTATCTTATTGTGAAAATGAGTGTGAAAATTAAGGGGTAAAAATTACGACATATAATGTCATTGTATTTGGATGTACTGTCTCGTTAAAAACCTTATTAGGAAAAACCCATTGGGATAAAAACCTGATGAAGGAAAAAAGAGTGCAGGGCATTCAAATACTCCCCCTGAAATTAACATAAATTTTGAAGACGACGCATGCCGATTTTCTGTACAAGTTCTATGAACTTCTTTGGGGGTAATGATTTGGTGAAAAGATCAGCCGGATTTTCACTAGATCGGATTTGTTGAATGTTGATTGTTCCTTCTTTCTCAAGGTCGTGAGTAGAGAAGAATTTTGGTGATATGTGTTTCGTTCTGTCTCCTTTGATGTAGTCTTCTTTAATCTGAGCTATGCACGCAGTGTTATCTTCGTAGATCACAGTAGGGTAAACAGTAAGAGGCTTCATACCGCATTCATTCTGGATGTGTTGAATCATAGATCGCAACCATACACATTCTCTTCCGGTTTCATATAGTGAAATTAACTCCGAATGATTTGATGATGTAGCTGTCAATGTCTGCTTCATAGATCTCCAAGAGATTGCGGTGTTACCATAAGTAAATACGTACCCGGTTTGTGATTTCGCCTTTTGAGGATCAGATCAATATCCAGCGTCTGCATATCCGATTAAAGCAGATGTTGCATCTTTGTGGTAGAATAGGCCGAGATCAACTGTACCATGGAGATAGCGGAATATGTGCTTGATCCCGTTCCAATGACGTCTTGTTGGACATGAGTTGTACCTAGCTAATAAATTTACAGAAAATGCAATATCTGGTATAGTATTATTAGCTAAATACATTAAAGCTCCAATAGCACTCAGATATGGTACTTCGGGACCGAGTATTTCTTCGTCGTCTTCTCGGGGACGGAATGGATCATCGTGTATGTTGAGAGATCGAATGACCATTGGTGAAGTCAAAGGATGAGCTTTGTCCATATAGAATCTCTTCAACACTTTCTCGGTGTAATTGGATTGGTGGATTAAAATTCCATTCTTCAAATGCTCAATTTGAAGTCCGAGACAAAATTTGGTTCTCCCGAGATCTTTCATTTCAAATTCTTTCATAAGATATTTTGCAGTATTTTCAATTTCATCGGGAGTTCCAATAATGTTTAAATCATCAACATATACTGCAATTATGGCGAATC